TAAATTTTTAGATTATGTACATTTTTTTCTGAGACTAGGTTCTTTGTACTTAGACCTTGATTTCCTTCCCTCTGAAGCTGACAGGCAGTACCAAAAATAATTCTTTTTTCCTGCCCTCACTTCTGCAGAGGTCCTTCAGTCTGTCAGGCCATTCTTTTCAAAAGCACATGTAGAAATCTAAGGTTTATGCTGTTTAAGTTTATTTAAAAACGCCAAACAAACCCAAACGAAGAAAAAGTGTAATAAAATACATTCTTCAGAACTTAACCTCTCCACCCCAGACTTCCTTATTTCTTCTCCTGGATGAAAAGTGATCAAATTATTTTTGAAAGAAAGACTTATCTGTCTCAAATCAGACCACATATTCTCAACCCAAACCTAGGGTATGTGATTGCCTCTTGGAAATCAAACCAAATACAATCTTTAATGAGCTTTTAGAGCTCTATTTTTTACCCCATTCAAATCTTTTACTGGTTTATAAATGTGACCTATTGATGTTGTCAAAGATAGCTTCCAAACATTTAGTCCGGTCTTTATTCTTAATAGCTCTTGTATAACMTGCAGTACCAGGTGCTTCATAGTTTCTGTAGGTCAGCAATTCAGCATTACATCTGACACCCACTTTGCAGTAATTTTACCAGATGTAGTGGTTATGACAAGAAGAATTCTACTGTGAAACTCCGCATAGTGATAGAAGTACCTGTCTCATGGTGGGATGTTTCAAAATACGCTGGTTTAGCCAATGCCATAGAAAGAAAGCAAGAAGAGTCAATCCCTCTCTTTTCTCTCTCTCTTCCTTTTGCCCTTTTGCCYCAGCTATAAGCTGTTAAAACTGTTCCAGTCTTCATCTTAACTAAATGCCATTCAGTGTTTCCCCAGTGAGCAGTGWTTGATTTGGATTCATTAGAAGCAGCAGGGGGTTTACACTATTTTACAGGTGAGAGATAATAGGTGTAAGTATGGCAGCATGGAATCATACCTCTAATGCAATGAGGAAAATAAATTGTAATTAAAGAGTGAAAATTTTGCATATACTCATAGTTAAATCTGCATGGTTGATGCCACTGGTTTGTTTTCCACCCATGTGCCTTGGCTGATGAGAAATATGTTGGATAGTGAGGGATTTTTTTTAATGTCTTGCTACTCCAGTTTGAAATATAATTTCTGTTACTTTAGGCACTGGGATTTTGCACTCAGAGGGATTGGATAATACCCACTATACAGAGAAAGCTGATAAAACCTCATCTTGGGGAAAGCTCCTGTGTAGTATCAGTAGGAAAGGACAGTGTAAAGACAAACTCAACACACCACTGAGACCATCTTTGTTAAAGGCAGTCTGTTTTCATGCCTCAAATGAAGTGTAYGTATCCTATGAAGTGTACTGCTCATGGATRGGAATTTGAGCAACCTGRYCTAATGAAAGATGTGCTGGTCCACAGCAGGGGGAATGGACTGGATAATTTTTAGAGGTTCCCTTCAACCCAAACCATTCAAGGATTCTACAATTCATGCTTAAATGTTTGGCATTTATTCTGATCATCAAGTTTCACACCATTTGCTACTTGGGCAGTTGACTTTGGCCAGCACTGGGGAGGACAATTAGCAAGACAATGTACAAGTTGTGTTCTAGCTGGTTGTTGTTCAGTTGTTGCAGCAACTGAAAAGTTGCCTAGAGTAACTGGGCTGTCARTTCTTATTATTAAAAATGGCTTACACTCTTCATGCAGGAATTTTCTTTGCACTTGCAGTGTTCTGTGTAATTTTGTCATATTTGCATAAAAATAATATGTTGAAATCTCATTACACAGTGTCTCTGATACAAGGGAGCAATTTCTGGCAAATAAAATGCTCTCCTGTAAGCCACTGCCAGGTAGTCCTCCTTTACATGTGCAATTTTTTTTTTGGATTAAACCCAGAAGATATCAGTAGTACACTGAACCCCCAACACATGGACTTTTCTTGTATGTATTCATAATGGTTGCTGTAGATTTATAAACTGACAAGTTTTTTAAAAATGTTTGCTGTGCAGCACTCATGGTCACAGTGTAGATGAGATATTGTCTGTGTTTTGGCTCTGCATTACACCAAGCTAGCCCTTAGTTAATGCTGCAGAATTTTATTTCAGTGGTAATTTCTCTCAGCAGGTTATTTGTCCATCCTGCTGGCGCATCTTTGGTTTGGTGCTTGATTCTTGTATGGTGATTTAGCTTTCATTAGCAGTGATTTACAACAGTCACCAGTGAACCTGCTTTTCTTCCCTCTGCAAGAACTGGTAGTTTCCTTAAAGACTGATGTTAGAGGAAGGCATCTTTCCAAGACAAGAAACTGTTTGAATTTATGGCTAAGTTCGTTAAATAAGCATGTGCCTAGGTCTCCCTTTCATTTGCCAAGTGGATTTTTTTCTCCATGTTCTCAGAGATCATGTGTTGAAGTCACAAACAATCCCTGATTCATTTTGGTTTTAAATGAGAAAACTTTGCATATTCTTTCATTTTTGATCTTCTGAGGCTACTGAATATGTTCTTTGTTGCCTTTTCGCAACTATGAGGGGCACAATCATCAGATTGTGGTAATTCAGATGCACTGGCTATTTAAAATTATATTTGGCATGTGTAAAGMAACTGACACAAGAGGATATTAAACACACAGGCTCTTCATTAACAGACAAAAATCAGAGGAACTAGACTCAGGTAAAATGGAGTAAAGAGACTCGGGTAAAAATGGAGTAGACTTGTCTCGGGTAAAATAGAGTAGAGAGATTCAGAGTAACTAGACTTGGGTAAAAATGTAAATATTTATAAATGTAAAAATGTAAATATTTATAACTAGTGTTATAAATAAGTTGGCAGTATTATATAATTCAATGTTGGATTTATTGACTTGAATTATCTAATGTTAAGAATTGGTGACTGATGCACAGTTTTTACAGGATGTATTTTGCTCTTATTTTGTTAAGTTGCAAGAATGCTTTGCACCCACAGCTGGGAAAACTCAGAGCAASAATGAGTTAAAGGAACAGCTCTRTCTGCTGTAGAGCACTTCTTTTCATAGTCTGATTATTTATGTGGGMTGTGTGCATGTACTTGCAAGCAAGTCTWCCCAATCGGTCACTCTTTTTCTTGGCRTAYTGGATTGAAGSTTTAGKGRAGTGGTTCCATGTGAGTGATTGAACCAGTCTGATCTTCTCCTTCAGTAATTCTAGWAAGAGATGTGAAAACRTTCTTTGTTTTCAAAGCTTTTCACTTGTGACCCTTCCTTTTGATTATTGTTCTACCCTCAATGTCTCTTTTTTTCATAACTTACAAGAAGAAAAATTTTGTGAACTTTCTGTAGGTGTGAGGGAAAAAAACAGRAAAGAATTATGATGTGCCCTCTGGCACTTTCAGTGTGCGTTTTGAGGTGAAGAGTAGCGTTTTTTTTAAAACTCTCAAACTTTCTGGAAAAAAAACATCAAGGAAGTGGTCATAACCCTGATTAACCTTTCTACCAGCAATTAAATTAAATTTGCTGTGAATTCTTGTATATCTTTGTGAGCACTGCATATTGTTGAGCATTGTTCTTCTGATGCTACAGATTTTATTCTTTGCAAACAGGAATTCTCCACTGACTGTAATGTAAATTGCAAGGGCATGTTTCATTGTGAAGAACAAGTTATGAAAATATCTGTCAGAAATAATTACAGTTGATCCTGCTGTCGGGCAGGAATATAGATTGGATAATTTACTGGTGTCTTCCTCAGCAGTGTTTTTTATAGCACTGTTACCAGGAATATCAGAATTTAACTYAAAATAGTGATAAAATCACTTATAAGGAGGAAAAAAGGAAAGGAGAGGTTATTGATCTTCTACTTGTGACTTTACACAGTGGTTTGTGGCATGGGYTTACTCCTTCATGACTGCATAAAAAGCAGGGTATAATCATGGATACTGTTTTTTGAAGATGTGGATGCTCTTGAATGTACTAATCCTGCTTTTCACTGTCATCTAATGGTGTCTCAAAGGCTTCAAAAAGCCATTTGCTCCTTTTAGAGTTGGTATCTCTAAATCAGATGCGGCACACAGTTCAAACCTTTGTAGAAGCCTAAGGAATCCAGAGGTAAATATGCCCTGTGATGGTTTGAAATGTGTGTTTTGCCAGTTTGTCCATGAGAGTGACATTTAAGCATCCTGTAGAATAAGTAAAGGGGAGAAGCTGTGAGGCTGATGATTGTCCTTGTCCTCCCTCCCCCCATCCTCCAGTTTATAAGACCTGCCATAGTTGTTCAGGACAGCAGTGCGAAAGAGAAAGATGGAAATGTATTTGGCAGGTGGGTTGATAAAACAGCTCCTGTAATTTCATGAGTTTGGTAGAAATTGAAGTGTCGGTATTATTCTTAAAGAATGGACAGCAATACATATTTCTAATGTACCCTCTCCTCACTGATATGCAGCTGAAAAGATTTTATTGATTGCTTCCCTTAAATTTCTTCTCCTGATTACTTCAACRCTGATGTTTTGGGAGGTCTTAATTTACTTTTTCCTGGAAAGTTTCTTTATTTCTCCAGATCAGGAGTTGTCCTTTTTAGCMCTCAAGTCTATGCAAAAGAAGATCCAGGATGTGGACTCCTTTAACTTKTCTAATGGCACMTTTAAGGAATCATGTACTTTTTGTTWATTTGCCTTTCGGACTGTTCTCTGCACCTAAAGGTCCATAGCAACAGAAATGTTCTCTGCCTCTGACAGGTATTGCAGTCTCTGACTATCACAAGGCATCACTGTGACCTCCAGGCTTTTTTTATCAAACAGACTATGGCAGCGCATGAAAGGACTGACCTTAGAAAGATTGCAGAGGGTTTAAAAAAACCTAACTACTTCAATGAGAGAAAAGGACCACTCGGTATCTGTGCTGTTTTGACTTGGAGCATGGTAAAATGGAGCAAACAGTCCCAAAATGAGCGAACTGTCCTGACTCAGTCCAGCTCAGGCTTCCTTAACCCTGCCTGTCTTTAACTCCTTTGACAGCTGTCTTCCACTGGGACAGAGGTGAAACTTCGACAGACCGCATTTGTTGAGCAGTGGTCCCCAGATTTGCAGCTCTCCCCAGGAAGACCTCAGAACAATTACAAGTGTTTCACCTGGACAAAATGTAAAACTTCGCTGTCAGACTATCCTATTTCTGGTAAGGCATCTAAGGCCACTTAATTATTGATTGAAAAAAGCTTAATTAAAAGGAAAATACCTGTAAAATAAGGGGGACTGCTAGGAGATGTTGTGTTTGTCAAGTGTTTGTATTACACTCTGATGGGCATATTGTAAAAATGGCATGCAAAATAATAAGAGGAGAACAATAATAGGAAAAGAAAGACTTTCTAAAGGAGTTTGTTGTTTGTAGACATTGTTTTTAGTCTGCCTCCYCTGAGGGAACACTGATTGTGACTGTAGATTCATTTCTGAAAAATAGCTGTGAGTGTAATGACAGAACAGGTTTTGATTTGGCCAGTAAATCACAATTCTTTATTTCTCCAGATCAGAAATTGTCCTTTTCACATAAGCCTTCAAGTCTGTGTAAACAAAATTCAGGGTGTGGGCTCATTAAACTTGTCTAATGGCACATTTAAGGGCTAATATATTTCTTGTTTATTTGCCTTTTGGATTGCTCTCTATACATGAAGGTGCATTGAAACAATGAATCTTTGAAAAACTATTGAACGAAAATGAGGTGTAGATGATTGCTCTAAGCCTGGACAGCATGGGGAGGTAGCCCTGACCTATTCAGCATATCTTTCTGTGAAGTTTCACCACTAAATCTGATGCTAATATTATTTCCCTTCTGTAAGAATGACTGTGCAGCTGTGGGTTCTATGCAAAGCCTCATGTGCATATTTACCTCTGTGCTCTAGAGAAAATTGCACATATGGTTCCCTTTAGGCCTGTATTTAATTTTTTTCCAAAATCAAGATCTCAATGCACTTCTAAATTTCTCTGTGTAGTATGGGTCTGTATGTTGAGTAATAGCGTAAATATTGGTATAAAAGCTGAGCTACCAGTACCCAGTCAAATATCACTATTCTTGGTTCATCTTTGAATGCCCATGTGTTAATAAAAGTTGATAAGGTGTTATAATGTGCTAAAAACACTAACAAGGACTAAAGATAGTTCTGAATTACATTYTGTATTAAATTAATTTGCTAACCTATGCTGAGAACAGCTGCAGAAAATCACAAAGCATTCTTGTATCATATGTAGCCGACTTTCTTCCTGCTTGATGAGTGACTTCTTTTTAGTTTAATTTGTTTTTTTTCTTTGTGGTACTTTGATAAACATAGTCAATTAACWTCATGTTAGGATGTGACTGGGTGAAGTTATTTTACAAGGTACTGATCGCACTGGAAGTATGAGTTATCTGCATGCCAAGTGACTGCATGAGAAATTGGATAAAAGAGGTTTTAACGTTTGGGCTTAGAGCTCTTCTCCAAGCCTAATAATTCTATGATTCTATTTGCATTTCTGGGTCCCCRGTATGTCACATTAAGATGATCTACYASTAAACAATGCTTGGCTTTGCTGAAGAGGTGTTAATGCTGCTCCAGCTTGCTGCCTGGCATCACTCTCGGGTCAGCTTGAAAACACTGGTGCAGAGCCTGTACCAGGATTAATTTTGATGGGAGCAGCATTGTCAGGATAAAGTTCATGTCTGTTCATACCTGTCTACAAGAGGTTAGAGAAGAGAAAGCACTACTCATGAATCTGTGAGTTGATGTCAACTCAAAATGCAAGACAGACTCAAGCTGTGCTTATTAAGACTTCATATCGTGACTAGATTAGAACAAGAAAAGGCCTGTATTCCCTTTTTACTTTGTCCAGTGAAACCTTGCTCGATATCAGTGTTCTCTAACGTGCCCAGCAGCAACCCAACAGCAGCAAGTCCCTGAAATGGTGGAGCTGGCAGTTTATGGCTAAAGGAAAGAGGATCTAGGCTGAAGCATGCYGGCTCCATGCCTCCTCAGAAGTAATTTTTTGTGGATTTTTGGTGGTTTCTATGTGCTTAATAGAAAACAAAATTAGTCCTCTTCTCTGAAGTCATGGACTCCATTAGCTAGATGTACAGAGCTTACATTTCCAAGGAAGTCAGTATTTACATAGCTTAGGTATAAGAAAACAGTGAAGTGCTCACCATACATGACTCAGAGTATTTTAAAATGTGCAGAATCTGCACAAATTCATTATGCCTTGGATCTGAGGATAAACAGCAAACTTCAGCACAGGAACATTTTCAGCGTGCTACATTGGATACTGAAATCATGCCATTCACAAAATGTATCTGTTTCACATATCCAGTCTGCCAAACCTGTTCCATTCAGTTTAGAATTTTTTGSTTCTTGAGACACAAATTTATGTGGTCAGAATGTAACAAAATGTTCTTAAATCSTCTTTTATTTCAAATATAGTATCTTCAGCTGTAAGTTACAAAGACATGCTACCTGCAGGTAARATGTTGCTGTAAATGAGAAAGCCTGAGAGGAAGCTGAAATCAAGCACAGGTTTTTGGTTAGGGCTGAGGTAGGATATGTTGCAACTCAGAGTAATCTGCAGAAATTATTCCCTCTTGTTCTTTCAAATAATGTGTTTCATTTCATTTACATAGCATGGGGCACTGAGCCCCTGTGCAAGCAAAGTAAGGGCAGCTGGCACAAGGGATTAATAGTGATGCTTCTTTATCGCAGAGGTTTGGCCCTGTAATTTAGAGAAACAGGCTAGAGACACGAGAAGGAGAATAGGGCAACATTTTCCCTGCTATTCTGTTGAGGTCAGTAAGTGGCATTTCTGCTGATTGAGTTTCARTTTTGGGAAGTGTCTGAACAGTTTTATTTATGTTGTGTATAATGCACATATCTATGTATTTTTGTGGAAAATCAATAATGGTATAAAATGCCTGCCATCAGTTTTCACCTCTTTTGTCTAAATCAGGGATGAAATTTTTTAAAACATTGTGTCTTACCAGTCATCTGCTGCAGTGAATTTGTTGGACTCATTAAATACCATAGAGGACAAGATGCCCATAAATTCACTCAAATGAATTAATGAACAGTTAAACAAGTAAAGGCCTGGTTTTCTCGGTATTTCTCACTCCTGATTAATTACACTCACAAAAGTTATTTAAAGTTGAAGAACGCACAGACAAGCTTTCCTCCATTAGGGAAAAAAAAAAAAAAAAAAAAAAAAAAAAAAAAAANAAGCTAAAACTTCCATCCTGCTTAGCAATGTCTGCAAAAATGCCAGAGTTTACCCTGAGATGCTGCAGGACAGGAGCTGTCTCAGCCTGTCCAGTTTACGGTGTGTTGACAGTCACCTACAGGTATCCTTCACTGGAACTGCTGTGGTTCAATGTGGCACCTTTCAGATGTGCTCTATTGTAAGGCAGGAACTGTGCTGGTATGATTCACAGATGGGTTCGTTAGATAACAAATGGCAGCTGAATATAAAGTTTGAAACAAGAAAACAGCAGTGATAGTCAGATTTCAGGCATGTAATGGTAACCAGTCTGGCCAGTTCTTATTTATTGTTGTAAATATCCTGAAGTGTTATTCTATTAAAGATCTTTTCATAATGCAAATGGATCTAATATAGTTGAATTTTTCTGCAGTGGATGTATTATTGATATAAAAATCTGTGGCACAGATGTAGAACTCTACTTTTAATCAGATTTATTCCTAGTGGTCTGCTCGGGCCAAAAAAAGCCAAAAGACCCTTTTAGTGTTAGCCATAACTAAAACCTAAACAAAAATCTCAGACATCAAACAAAAATCCAAGAAATTATATACAAAAAAAAATATATTGTGAAAGCAGCATCTGCTTTGATAAACAATGCATTTTGGGAGATTGTTATTCAAGCTGATGGGCTATTGAGATTAAAAWATAAAATTTAAAATATCTAGTATTATAAAATACCTTCTTGTGAGGTCAGAATCTGTGTAAGATTTTGTCTTKYRTTTGTTTTTAAGGCTTCGACTGTGTATTGGTAGTTGTAGGTACATAAATTACACAAAACCTAAACCGCCTTCTTTGTCATGCCCTGAAGAGCAGTGTACTGAGGACAGAGAGAGTCAGGGGAGACACAGAATGACTGATGGAAAGTCTTTGTACTCATGAAGAGAGGTAGCAGCATGGTTACTTTGATAGCCACACTTACAAGGGCTTTRAAGGCTCATTCTGCTTCAGGAGTTTCATGTTCCTTTTCCTCTGTCCCATCATCATTCACGAATTTCTTCGCAGCCTAAATTAAAACTCCCTGTCATTCAAAAGAATGTGGAATCTGTTATTTATTCATGTATCCACTTGATTTCACATCAAAACCCAGAAACGTGTTCTGGGAAAAAAAAATCAACCATGTTAGGGAAAGAAATACTACAAAAATACAAGATTTCACAGGGAAATATATCAGCTGCTCATTTCTACTTCAATGTGTTTGGATTTTTTTCCTTTGTTTCTGGGAAACAAGGATGGGTTTCTGTTAAGTCTTTCTTAACAGTAACACAAACTTCCTGAACTTCTGCTTTGTTTAGGAATTTGACCTTTCTTATTTATATTCATTTTCAGTTGGTGGATTAAGGCCAGGCAACCAAGCCATTATTCCTGACTGAGTGAGCATGTAGTTTATTTTCTAGTAGCCTTTGTTTTATTATCTGTGAAATGTGTGTGGAGAAACTCCTGAGGTCTTTACAAAACAACCTATGTTTGTAGAACATCTAGATCCTGCTTTTGCATGGTACTTGGAAGAGGGGATAAGTCTAAAATGTGTGGGTTTATCACCAAGTTTGCAGTAAACACTCCATTACTTTGGAAATACATTTACTATGCACATTATTGCAAGGGATTTATGTAGCATAGGGTGTGAAAAATATTCTGTAGTTTACAGGAGGCTGGAAACCATGTGAAGAAAATTTCTTGTCTAAATTCAGTTGCTTTTCATGGATAGCAAGTAATTTTTGTGCAGAGCAGCTTCATGACATTCATTGCATTTTGCAGTATCTTAAGCTACCATTTTGAAATTGAGAACAGGAATAAATCAGCTGTCTCACAATGGGATAATTCCTTGCAAGTGATGTCAGGTCAGTTGGATTTAAGTTGATTTATCTTATATTCAGTGTCTRTGAGAGCTGGAAATTATATTGAAAA